TACCGAGGAGGAATGGCAAGGAGGGGCGGGGCCAGCGGGTGATGATGGGAGCAATGGCCGAAGAGCATTGGCCAAGCTGAGCGTTGGCCAAGCGGTGATGTGGCTGGGTGGGGTGGGGCCAAGAAGGAGAGGGGCCTGGATTGGGCATGACCCCCGAATGGGTGCCGAATGGGTGTGGTCATTAAGGGGTGTGGCCATAAGGGGGTGAGGCCATTAAGGGGGTATTGGGGGACCATGGACATAGAGCGTTGGCCAAGTTGGGGGTTGGCCAAGGGGTGATGTGGGTGAGTGGGGTCGGGCCAACGGGGAACGGAGCCAGCATTGGGTGTGGCCACGGATAGCTGTGGCCATGGATGGGCGTGGCCACAAAGGAGGCGTGGCCAGGATTGGTGGATCTGGGGATTATGGCCATAGAGTGTTGGCCACCTTGCGCGTCGGCCATGTTGAGTTTTGGCCAAGTTGAAGGATGAGGCCAGGCAGGGCATGGCCAGAGAGGGTGTCATCAAAGGGGGTGTGTCCAGGGAAGGGGGCGGGGCCTTACCGGAGTGGAGGCCGATGCGGATGCGCACAGGCACCTCGGGCATGTGGCGCATCTTGAAGGTGCCGACGGAGCTGAGGATGTCGAGCGACATGTTGGCAATCTCACCGGCGTGGCGGTTCCCGTTGCGCTTGGGCAGCCCCGAGGCCACCATGTAGGCGTCCCCGATGGTCTCCACCTGTGTGTGGGGGGGAAACACACGACACATCACTGAGGGGCTATTGCTCACCAGCACCCGCCCCTGGCCATTGTTGAAGGTGGCCATGGCCACGGGTGGCCACGGCCCTGGTTTGTGGGAGGACTTGTAGGGAGGTGGCCATAGCATGGGCAAGTCCCTTGGGGCCACCAGTGCCACCAGGCAGCTGTGTCATCTTATAGATGGGTCACTAAGGAGCATGGGGACCCCCAACGATGTCTGTTTGGTGGCCACATCCCATGTTTGCAGGGTGAGGTGGCAAAGCCCAGCCATGCCTCACAGGGTCACCAGTGCCACAGGGTGGCCAGATCACCTTACAGATGTCACTAAGAACCATGTGGGCCCCCAACCACGTCCATTTGGTGGTCATGTCCCATGTTTGCTGGGAGAGGTGGCCAAAGCATACCCACGTGCCACAGGACCATGGCCACTGGTACCACGTGGTGGCCCCGTCACCTTGTAGACATCATGAGCACCGATGATGGCATCAAAGAGGGTGTAGAGGTCGTTGAGGAGGTCGACCACCTCGATGGGTTCACTCATGGCCGAGATGGTGGTGAAGCCCACGATGTCGCTGAAGTAGAGCGTCACCTCCTCGAAGTACTCGGGCTCCACAGGGGTGCCCATCTTCAGCGCCTCAGCCACTGACCTGCCATGGCACGAGAGGACACTGAGGCTCAGCGGGCACCCCCAGGTGTCTCCACAAGGCCACCGGTGCTACAAGGTGTCCAGGGGGTTCCTGAATCTCTCCCCATCACCACCAAGGGAGACCCTGTTGTCCCATTCAGACCTTCAGCCACTGACCGACCATGGCCATGGGGAACCACAGGGATGGGGACAGGGAGATCTTGATGCCCCATCTCAGGTGACCTAGTTGGGGGTCGATGGCCCATGGACAGCCCCAACCGGACCCCCATGGCCATGTCTACTCCCCAACCAGCCCCAAGGAACCACATGGGGTCTATAGGGCCATAGCCAACCCCCATCCACCCCCTAAGGCCGCAGCCACCCTCCCCAGCCCCAGGGACCCACGGGGGCAGCATCTGGGTGAGGAGCTTGTCAGTCTTCTGCTTCTCGATCTCCAGCTCCTCAGTGCGTTCTCGGATGAGGTCCTCCAGGTTGCTGGAGTACTGCTCCAGCATGCGCAGCATGGAGTCGATAATGTTTGTCTTCCGGCCCTTGTTGATGTTCTTGAACTGCCCCGGGGTGAGAGGGAGATGGGGTTGAGCGGGACAGAGCTGCTCGGGTGCCCCCCAACGCCTCCTGCACCCCCAAGACCTGCTCTGGCCCGGAGAGCCCAGGAGCTGGGCACAGAGGGTCTGGTGTACACGGCTCAGGCCCATATCACCCCATAGAGACCACGAGGTGGCGCCATACACCCATGGGTCAGGTCCATATCACCCCATGGAGACCACCAGGTGGCCCCATACACCCATGGTTCAGGTCCAAACACGCCAAAGAGACCGTGAAGTGGCCCCATATGCCCGACTGACCTGGTCGAAGATCTGGTCCATGGTGGGACGCCGCTCGGGCTGCTCGCTCCAGCACTGCTTCATCAGCTGGATGCACTCGAGGGGCGCCTGGTCCAACGACACCGAGGGCCGGCACAGTGGCGGCGGCTTCTCCACCTTCTGGATGATCTCTGGGGGAACCCGAGGCACGGGGGCAGTTGGGGGGGCTGGACCCAGAGAGAGCAGCTGGCCATTTGGGGGGCTCGGGGTGTTTGGGGGGGTCTCAGGGGAGGATAGAGGTCCTAGGGGGGGCTTGGCTGTTAC